CTCCAGATCCAATAGTTTTGCTGAAAACTGAGAATTTTACTCATCTTTTTGGTTGAATAACTTTCTTTTGTGTTTATGCTACATTTTGTCTGCCCTTTGCTGATGGTAAACTAAATTGACTTCATATCTGAACGCTATGAATAGAGTCACATAAACATAAACAAGTATGTGAGCACATGCACACGTGTGTACAACTAATGTATGCCAATTTCACCTTCTCTATGGGTTGTTTGATTTCTATGCCAGAACCTTTTTAATCTGATACAATTAAATCATTTATTTTTTTGTATGAAATCATATTCCTTATTCCCTAGATAATTAGCTTAGGACAGAACATCCTCCTTGATTTGGGGTTCTTATTGTACAGTTTTCAGCAAACTAAGGACATGTGAGATAATGACATTCCACAAAACATCAAGTTCTCAGAACAGCATGAGTATGACTTTGGTTACAGGCTACAGAAGGACAAATTCTGAGGAATCTGCACTACTCACAATGTCACTACTGCAGAAAGACAATTCTCATTATTTATATGTGTACACTTGAAATTCAATAGACATACAATAACCACAAAAGCACAATGCATACTTTCCTGAGATGATACTTTGTGACTTTGCCAAATAATAATATTGTGTGCTGAAGATTTATTAAAGAACTCTTGAATTAATTTAAAAATTCCAAAACACTAAACTCAGAAAAGCTTGTTGTAGAGGGAGACTGCTTTGTTTCCTGGCCACACAGGCCTGAATAATCACACAGAAACTTGATTAATTACAATATTGTTTGGATAATACCGTAGGTGTATTTCTAGCTAGCTCTTACATTGTTATTAGTCTATGTGTTACCACGAGGCTGTGACCTAGCCATAAGGTTCTGGCATCTTTCTCCTTTGGCAGCTACATGGCATCTCCCTGACTCTGCCTTCTTTCTCTCGACCATCAGTTTAGTTTTCCTGCCTAGCTCTATTCTGCCCTGACATAGCTCAAAGTAGCTTCTTTATTAACCAATGGTAATAAAACATATTCGCAGCATACAGATGGAATTCCCACATCATCTCTCATTTTCTGTCTAAATAAAAAGAAAGGTTTTAACTTTAACATAGCAAAATTACATATAACAAAACAAGTATCAGACAAGAATTACAGTTACAATATTTATATCTACTTTATTTCTTATTAAACTAAGGAAAACTATAATTTTAACTATCTAGTCTTCAACTCTATTGAGGACCCCAGAAGAATATAATATTTTCTTGGAGCCGAGACAGGAACCGATATGTGTACAGGTGTGGTGGGAGAAGATGTGGGCATGAACTCCCTCTAAAGTGATGAGTGAGAACCCTCATCACAAGGGTACGTCCCTGGCTCCAAGAAAACAACAGTGTCCATATATTAAGATATCTCAGAACATGCTTTGTCGTGCTCACAGTAAGCTGTAAGATGCTTAAACTATCATAAGAGAAATAGGATAGATGTTACGTTCATGGACTGGGGAAACATAAGGAACACTTTTCCCCACACGTCAAAAAGATGACAAGGTAATATTCTCTCTTGTGTCCTTAGATACACAAGATTCTGCAGAAAGTTTTTGGTGTGTCCTTCTTGCAACCCCACCCAGACTACAGTGCTATCCTTCTCTACTGTCACAATTTAAAATTCAGGATACATTCTCACATTCAGAGAAGATCATGCTGCAGTACAGAAAGAAACCACAAGGGGGAGATATCCCTTTATGCTGGTGATAAATACAAATTCATCCATTGCTTCTAAACACATGGCCCCAGTCATCAATCTCTATAGAATGGCATGATCTTGGGGGAAAGTGTTTGTCTTGTTTAATATAGGAGACATTTTATTTTATATTTATATATTTCTTCTCTTTTTTTAAATTTATTAGATTTTTTTAAAAAATACCAATCCAAGTTCACACTCCCTCCATACACTCTCCCACCCACCCCACTTCAATCCTCAGAGAGGGTAAGGCACATTGCTTTGTGGAAGGTCCAAGGCCTTCCCTACTATATCTAGGCTGAGCAAGGTTTACATCCAAAGAGAATGGGTTCCCAGAAAGCCAGTACATGCAGTAGGGAGAAATCCTGGTGCTACTGCCAGAGGCCCCTCAGTCTGCCCCTGCCATGCAACTGTCAACCACATTCAGAGGGACTAGTTTGGTCCTGTGCTTGTTCCTTCCCAGTCCATCTGGAGTTGGTGAGCTCCCATTAGCTCAGGTAAACTGTTTCAGTGGGGGAACCCTTCATGGTCTTGACCTCTTTTCTCATATTCTCATTCCTCACACTCTTCAACTGAACTTTGGCAGCTCAGTCCAGTGCTTTCATGTAGTTCTCTGCCTCTGTTTCCATTAGTTGCTGGATGAAGGTTCTATGGTGATATTTAAGATATTCATCAGTCAGACTACAGGGAAAATCAAGACTAGGCCCCCTCTTCTCTATTGCTTAAGGTTTTAGCTGGTGTCAGCCTCATGGATTACTGGGAATTTGTCTAGAGTCAGGTTTTTCTAACCCTATAATGGCTCCCTCAATCAAGATATCTTTTTTCTTGTTCTCATCTCTGACCTTCCTCCATCTCGACTATCCTGTTCCCTCAAGTTCTCCTCAACCCTTCCCTTCTCCCCCACTCTTCCCCTTCCACCCTCCCTTCTCCCCCCCCCCACCCTAATGCTCCCAATTTTGTCAGGCGGTCTTGTCTGTTTACAATTTCCAGGTGGATCTATATATGTTTTTCTCTGGGTTCACCTTATTACTTAGCTTCTCTAGGCTCATAAACTATAGGCTGAATATTCTTTGTTTATAGCTAGTATCCACTTATGAGTGATACATACCATATTCATTTTTTGGGTCTGGGTTACCTCATTAAGAATAGTGTTTTCTAATTCCATCCATTTGCACGCAAAATTCAATATTTTTTTCCACCGAGTAGTACTCTAATGTGTTAATGTGCAACAGTTTCTTTATCAGTTCTTCGGTTGAGGGGCATCAAGGTTGTTTCCTGGTTCTGGCTATTACAAATAATCCCTCAATATAAATCTCACCACACTGAACCTGATAGAAGAGAAAGTGGGAAGTAGTCTTCAATGCACGGGCACAGGAGACCACTTCCTAATAACCCAAGTAGGACAGACACTGAGGGCAACAATAAATAAATAAATGGAATCTCCGGAAACTGAAAAACTTCTGCGAAGCAAGATACATAGTCAATAATACAAAAAGGCAACCTAATGAATGGGAAAAGATCTTCACCAACCCCACATTAGACAAAGGACTGATCTCCAAAATATATAAAGAACTCAAGAAATTAGACATTAAAATTCTAAGTATCCCAATTAAACATTGGGGTGCTGAACTGAACAGAGAATTCTCAACAGAAGAAGTTCAAATGGTCAAAAGATACTTAAGGAAATGTTCAATATTCTTAGCCATTAGGGAAATGCAAATCAAAACAACTATGAGATACCATCTTACATCTGTCAGAATGGCTAAGATCAAAAACACCAATGATAAGCTATGCTGGAGAGGATGTGGAGTAAGGGGAACACTCATCCATTGCTGGTGGAAATGCAAACTTGTACAACCACTTTGGAAATCAGTATGGCAGTTTCTCAGAATATTTGGAATCAACCTACCTCAAGACAGATTTTATTTTTAAAACTCTAAATGATTTGGTGTCAGTTATGCTTTTCTGTAAGAGCCTCCATTATTGCAAAAAGAAGTTTTTGGATGAGTGGTGATATAATATATATTAAATATGCAATATATATTAAATATACAGTGTTAACCCAACTGGCATAATTTCAATATTCATATTTTTATAAATAGCCCATATATATAAAATGAAATTATGCCAGTTGGGCTGACAATACTCTCCATAAGAGCCATAGACTAACAAAAACCGCAATACTGTGACTTTCAAAATAATATAGACTATTGCTGCTGTTCTTAGTTACCTCTGAGAGATGGAAGGTAAGTCCTTATAGGTGATCTTCACTTTGGACACAGGACTCTAAAGATGTCTACCATTCATGGTACCAGAAGGTGTTTTGTAAACTGCTAAGAGAGGAAAGCTACCAGTAGTTCCATCCAGCTGCACACCTGTGAACACAGGAATAAGCAGCATGGTAAGACAGCCCTATCTTGTGACTGCAGTATTCAAACCTTGATGGTAACCAACAGCTCTTTAAAGGTACTTAAGACCTGAGCAACAGTAAGGGAATTGTGCCTGATACTAGAAACTTAGCCAACTACCCGGGGCTGGTGAGGTCGCAGATCTTAGAGGAGAATATAGGAAATATACTACTTCCACTTTACTGGAATGAAACAGTCTTTAATACACCTGTCTGCAGAAAAGGATACCAGCATGGAGAAAAGGACGCCAGCACAGAGAAGGAAAAATGGCCAGTTAATGATTTTGTGATAGATGGAGGTTTTAAAAGTCTTTGAATGTGAGAAAGTCATGCCACCTTGTCATTCAATAAAATTTTGTGAATTTACTTTTATTAATTCTTTCATGAAACTCACACACATGTAGACAGAAAGACAAACAGATTGTGTGTCTGTGTGTGTTTGTGGGTGTCTGTGTGTCTGAATTTTCTTTCATGTGTAATTTGACATGGCAAACATATGACAGATTTTGTTTCTTAGAGGACATGATGTCAAAGTTTTCATTAAGAAAAACATATTTCTTATAAAAATTTTCCAAATCTCTATTAGAAATGTAGAAAGAAAGGCTGAAGTGAAGTTTTGCATTCTTGTTAAATTGTCAACCATCTCTTTTCTCTAGGAGAAAGGATGCATTGATAAGACCAAAAGGAGCACAGCTGTGTCATCCACGTATTACTAAACTTCATAATAAATCGCATGTCCCATATTCGCCATCAAAAGAGAACGATCTGTAAGCCCATGTTACTTCTGATAGCTTCCAGCACATTATAATAAGACCAACAGTTCCTCAAGACAGTCTGGCATTCTCCCACGCCCATACAGGAAGATGCGACAGGACACAATCAAACCTGCCCCATATCTGCCAACTGCATTTCCTGTTGAGGTGGTGTCAACTTGTAGACTAGTATCTGCATCTGCACTTGTTCCTCTTGAGCACAAGGTACAGATTAAGATCTGAGTTAAGACAGAACACAGAAAGTTTCAGTCAAGACAAGAGCTAACAATATGCTGAGTCTTAGCCTCCTGGGAGCAACCGTCAGCTTCATTTCTTTAGGTAAGCATGTTCCCCAGCACAGGATCAAGCCCTTATCCCTCAAGGTCATAGGGAGAGAGAACATTGTCCTCTGCTGAGGCTCAGAAGGGAGGGATCACCAGAATTCTGGATCATAAGCTGCTTCATCCTTTAGACTCCCGTTGTTACAGTTAAGGCTGATGTCTCTGTGCTTTCTCCATCAGCAACCAGCATGGCCCAGAAGGTAACTCAGGCTCAGACTTCAATTTCTGTGATGGAGAAGAAGTCTGTGACATTGGATTGTGTGTATGAAACCCAGCAAAGTACTTACTACTTGTTCTGGTACAAGCAAACAACAAATGGGGAAATGGTTTTCCTTATTCTGCAAGAGTCTTACAAAGGAAATGCAACAGAGGGTCGTTATTCTCTGAACTTCCAGAATTCAGAAAGTTCCATTGGACTCATCATCACAGCCACACGGATCGAGGACTCAGCAGTGTATTTCTGTGCTATGAGAGAGGGCACAGTGGCAGAGGAGTCTACAAGAGGCCCATAAAAACCTCAACCAGAGAGAGGGTCTGCGGAGAGACTCCACAGACAGGGAGAGGCGGGGCCTGGGAGAGAACAGGAGGGGCTGGCAAAAAACCTTAATGCATTCATGTTGAATGTCTTTCTTTATCAGTCACGGTAGTGTGCATGTTGAGAACTGAATGAGTCTTCTGAGTATATATTATGGTCTTCAGTTTAGTGTATTTATGGGACTGCCAAGTGAATGAAAGAATGAGTCTCTCATTCCTGTGACTTCTCTTGGGCTCTTTTCATTCTCTTGGTTTGTCTTCCTGCATTTCAGTGTGACAGGCTTTATTTTATCTTACTATAGTTTCTTTTGTTATATTTTGTTGTTATCACTTAGAAGTCTGTTCTCTTCTAAAGAGAGAGAGAAAAGAGTGTATTCAGATGAGAAGGGATGTGGGGAGGAACTGGGAGCCAGGTGCAGTCGTGCCTGTTTGTAGAGATCAGAGGTGACCAAAGACTAGCACCTGAAAAGCACCTCCTTACCTACCTACAATTTACATTCAGACAGATCAATAGGACTCAACCACTTCATTAAAAATTGTCTGGGATAGAATGTAGAGAATATGCTAGAAAAAATAAAACATAATTCATTATATCTTCTTAATCTAGTGTTGGTTTTATTGAAGTGAGAAGGCTATTAAATTACCTTCAGACCAAATGACTAATTCTACTCTTAAGTTGATAAACTTGCAGAATTACTTGTATGAAATACCTAACTGCCTAATCAACTTTAGCAAAGTTGTCTCAAATTCATTTTTTCAAAAAATAGAATTATGATCCAATGGGGTAGAATATTTTAACTTAGACCTCTTATTATAATCATATTATGAAAGCCTTTTGTGCAACAAGAATAAATATAAAGTGTTCCACAAACCTTGTCTGGGCAAAAAGATTTTGAAAACTATCCACAAATTCATTACTCTTAGTTGGAGGCTTCTTGATGAGGGAACATTTCAGGTGGGATTCACCCTAGCCTGTCCAGTGTCTTTTCTTTATGACCAGTGTGCAACTGGGGAGTTACACACTGCCATAATGACAGCTACCATGTCAATGTACATCAGATAATAGAATGCAGTGTCTATCTTGTGTCTAAACAATGTGGCTCAGGAGGAGAGGGAGAAGACAGAAAAGGGGAGGGAAGAAAAGAGAGAGAAAGTTAAGATCATCAAAGGAAGTGAAAGGAAAATTGGGGTGAGAACAGGCATTAATGCGTAAGTAAAGTGGTTTCTCATTGAAGTGATGCTATTATTTCTTTCATAAGGCATTAGCAATGTTCTTTCTCTCGTATGCTAGGCTGAGGAAATGTGGAAGATACTCGTGTGATCCCTCTGAACTTCGCCAGCTAGTTGGCTCGTCTACTGACACTGTTTAATTGATGAATCAGGTAGAGAGGCTTATTAGTAATAGAGACTCTAAATCCCCCCTTATAATGTGAGAATAATTTCCCATCCCTAGAGGAATTAAGGACATTATACCTTTGTGAGACCCCTTCAATGTAAGAGCCCCAGCTACTACTAGGCTACAAAGGCCAAGGTTCCCAGGTTCACAGATGGAATACTCATGTGGCAGGCTAAGTTTTTAGAAAAGGTATGACCTTGATACGGTGTCCCTTGGCACAGGGCCTTGCTTTCAGAGGAGGAAAGAGGTGATGGGGCAAACCCAGCTATTCCTCAGAGTCTAATGGGTGGGCCAGCGGGTTATCCAACAGTGAATGGTTTCACTTTACATCCAAGTCCTGACTGATTTAAGTTGCAAGCAAGTTAAAGGTGGACAGGGCAATGCACAGAAGACATAACAGAGTACATGGACCATGAAGCTATTATTGGAGACCGCCGGACACCTGAGGGTTATTCTAACTTCTGTAAACAAGGTGATTGACAATGACCATCAGGTTCCAGCCTCAGCTACAGTCTAGTGAGTTTCCTGTTATTTTAGGAAGTTGCTGAAATTATTCATCACCCACCCCACATCTCAGAACCCTTGATCTCGCTCATAATACCTCTGCTTTGTTGTTAAGGCATCCCTGCCTAAAACATTTTGTTAGGTCTGTGTTGGGCAGTATAGGAAAGTAAAATCAGTCTGCCCTTTAAGCTGTTCCATCCTCCAACTGCCCTGGGTCCTGAACCTTTGCTTACCTGGCTTTCTATTCTGCATCCAGTGTAATAGTCTACACTTTTGTTCTGAAAAGACAATGAAAGTAGATAGACACAAACTACATTTGATGCAGAGGATTTCAGATCCTTGTTCTTTAGCCCTGTTACTCGTCTACTTGTAGCCATTGCCTTTGTCTTACTCTAGTTTGACCTGATCACAACCCGTGAGCTTTACAATGCTTACCCCTGTTATTATTTTGTTCTACACAAAAAGACACAAGTTCAGTAACTTGATGTTCCCTTACACCAAATGACATGGTCACACATAGGAGATCTTGAAAGACTGAAGGCATAAGCTTGGTCAGTAAAGTGCTTATTGTGTAATTATGAGTTCCCTAGTTCAATCCCCAACACCATCTCAAAATAAAACTAGCCTACACAAATGGTCATTCCTAAAAGCACATATACATAAGAAACAGGGAGAGGCACTTGGTCTTATGGCAGGTTAATAGGCCATGATTTGCTGATGCCCACGGTAAATGTGTTCCTTTCTGGGTAAATACAGAGGAGGGGTGCATTGGGGGGATGGAGGGGAGAATGGAAGAGAGAATGTGAGAAGTAGAGGAAGGAGAGGCTGTAGCCACAACATAAAATTTAAAAAATTTAGCAGAACCAGGGAGGAATGTTGGTTTGCTTCTTGTGGCTTTTTCAACTTACTCTCTCATACAAGCCAGGATCATGTAACTGTCCAGTAGTGGAATTGTCCACAATGAGCCGGGATGTTCCAGATCAATCAATAATCAAGAAAGCACCTCCAGAGACATTTCCACAGTATAATCTGAAGGAAGAAAATACTTAATTGGGATTCCCTCATCCCAGGTTACTCTTGTTTGTATCAAGATAACAAAATTAACCATAGAATTTATCCTTTATCAACTTGACACATAAATATCATTATTAAAAACAACCTTTCCTTTCTTGTTATTTCTAAGATCTCTTGTTAATATCATGATATAAAACATGGCATAACTTTAGAAGTCTTACAGTCTCTAAAATATTTGAACACTTTGAAAGTTCGATCTCTTTAAAATACCCAAACTCACTTTCAGATTCAAAGGCAAGATATATACATATTTCAAAAATAAAGGCAGATCAAAGTAAACCCAACATTCTCCAGTGCAAATCAGATATCACTCAGTCTCCAGTCTCTAGAGCTCATTTGTGATCTTCTGGGTTCCAAAGGGCTTGGACAGTTCAATTTACCTGGATCTTCAAACCAAGGCACACATAACTTGTCCCCTGCTTAGGCAATCTCTACTCCATAACTGCTACAGTCTAGGTGGTCATCCACAATAGTCAAGACATCTTTATCATTCTGGGGTCTGCACTACAACTGAGGCTTTACCTTTACTACTAGCCTCTGGTATTATCTTCAAAGATTCTGGCCTTACCTCAAGGCCACAAGCCTCAAATTCTCCTATATGACCTCTTCAGTCATTATGCTTTTCTTGAAAGACATTTACATATTACTGACCAAATTTGGTCGCCATCTTAAGATGCAGTTTTGGTCCTGTCTGGACCACATCTGGGTGTAAACGCTGATTAAATACTTCTTTGATTTCATATTAGTGATACTGGTCTCTTATTAATCACAAATAATTCTTCAGATCCATCTCACTAGCATAAACTATCTCAGTAAAGCAAAAGTTTCACTCCAGAGGTGTTAGTCTCTTGTCAATCAAAGCTGATTGTTCAGCCCTAATTGACCAGAAACTACAGATTCTTAACTCAAAATATCACATGAATATCATGAATATTCCAAACAGAGTTTGTGGGGGACTCTCAAGCATCTCTCTGAAACTTTGCAAGCAGAACATCTATCATTAGCATTCTTACCATCCAAACTCCCTCAACATCTCATTAACCATGGCCAACAGATCCAAATCCTCTATTTTTTCAAATATAAAACATACTTTATAGTATAAAACATCACATGGTCATATCCACCAGAATGGGCACCAATTTTCTGTTTCATTTACTTTCCCTGTTGTTAAAATAAAACATTGACCAAAGAAACTTGAAAAGGAAAGGGTTTATTTCAACTTACAGCCTGTAGTCAGTCATTGAGGAAAGTCTAGGCATGGAATCCAGGCAGAAATGGAAGAAGAACCTTGAAGAAATGATGTTTTTTGACTGGCTTCCCATGGTTCGCTCAACATGCTATCTTATGCAATTCAGGATGACAAGACTCACAGTGAGGGAGGCCCTCCCACATTAACTGTTAATCAAGATAATGCCCCACAGAATGCACATAGGCCAACCTGATGGAGGCAATTTTTATGTTGAGGTTTTCTATTCCCAGGTGACTCTAGTTTGTGTCATGCTGACAAGACTAACCAGACCACAAGAATCACAACACAATTCTAAACTTCCTATTTTGTAAATCTGCCCACAGAGGACACTGTTTTCAAACAGCAAATGACTTTTCTGTAGAATAGAGCAAAGATGCAAAAACCTTCTTTTCTACTGCTATAGCAAGAGTCTCTTGACTCATCATACTTTAGATAAAAATGGAGGAAGACTCTCAAATGCCAGAGGAAAGCTGATTGCCAAGAATGGCTCTTCATGCCAGTCCCTTTGATCTCCCTATGATGAAGATATCTAACTGTCCTGAAGTTCAGAACAACCTCTGTACACTTCTTTTGGTGTCCTGGTTATATTTATTTTCTGGAGATCTCCCAGGAAAGAGTGAGCTGCTTCTAGCTCACATGGTGACCTTGCTGTTCACCCTGAAGCTTAGAGTGCTCGGTGGGCGTCACTCTGCTTTAGTCTATCTTCACAGAAGAAACAGTGTGCTGCCTCACCCTGAACAGACACTTTCCTATTGACTGAGTTCCCCACACAGCACTGAAGCTGCAGGAGGCTGCAGAGCCCAGGCCGTGCCCTAGCCTGATGGTTGCATCTGTGTATTTGCAGCAGCTGCTCTGGAACTGAGAGGCACCTCCTCATCTCTTGTCCCTCATGGTCCTTTCCTGCATGTACAACACCCTCACCTGAGCTTCCAGTGCTTCCTGAAGCTCACACCAGGAAGCCAGCCTGTCTAGGGCATGGAGGACTTTCAGACTGAGTGCATGGAGGATGGAAACTCCTACCTGAGGGCCCTCTGGCAATGGAACAGAGGGAACTGGGTGTTCCTCTGCCCTGAGTCACAACTGCAGAACTGTACACAAACCACATGAGACTTGCAGAATAAGAGAACAGGGTCCCTGTTTCAGGCACTTTCAAGGATTTGACACCCTGTGTAAAACTCTATAATGCCTTTCTCTATTACAAGCACACAGAGCATTCCTCCTGCAGTCACCATGTGCTGTGGCATACTGGCCCTCTTGCCCCTATCACTCTGGAACTCATCGACTTTGATTTGTTTTTGTCATCCCACCTTTTCATTATGGGTCTTTGATTGTAACAGGAGTGTCCAAATGCACACATTTTTAAGTATCCCAAGAAAAGGAGATCATTCATTAAATCCAAATTACATAAAAATTATTATCTTGTTACTCTGTGTGATTAGATCATCTTCTTTAAATTAATTCAAAGGTCAATAAAGATATTTTAGTCAAAGCATGCATCTAATTTCTGGATATAATAATTAGCTGTTTTTATATACCATAACCCAGTTGAGATATTTTCTTCCTTGGGCAACTGGTCCCTTATTTCTCAGAGATCCCTCACATCTTACACCACCAACGTCATCAAAGAAGGACCATCTCCATCCACTGCACTCCACCCAGACTCTCAGCCAGGTCTGATTTAGGAGCTTCAAGCTCATAAGACTGGGAGGGAGGGAACTCAGTAGTGTTTGCCCTGACACGGTTGCTGGGTGGAGCTGACTGGTTGTAGGAGGAGAGACACTTCAACAGCCATCCTGACACCACAGCCCAGGGGTTGGTTACTTACTTCTGTCTCCAGCAGTCAGACAAGCACCATGAAGAGGCTGTTGTGCTCTCTGCTGGGACTGCTGTGCATTAAGGTTTGCTGTGAGTATGGTTGTCCACATTCAGGGGACAGAGGGGATTCAGTTCAGCATGTGGAGGGGTGGGAAAGCAGCTCAGGTGTCCTGCAGATCTCCCACCGTCCCAGAGGATATTGGGGGCAGGGTTCAGGGTTCTGCGGATGCTCAGTGATCTCCATCTGTGTGTCTTTCTCTGTTTCTAATCAGGGGTGAAAGGGCAGCAAGTGAAGCAGAGTCCTGTGTCCTTGGTGCTGCAGGAAGGAGAGAGTGCAGAGCTGCAGTGCAACTTTTCCACCAATGCAAACCAAATGCAGTGGTTTTACCAAAGTCCTGGAGGACACCTCATCAGCCTGTTTTACAATCCTTCTGGAACAAAAAAGAGTGGAAGACTGACATCCAAAACAGTAGCTAAAGAATATCGGAGCTCTTTGAGCATTTCCTCCTGTCAGACCACAGACTCAGGCACTTATTTCTGTGCTGTGGATCCACAGTGCTCCACACACACCTGCAGCCAGTACACAAACCTTCAGCTGGATGGGTGTGGTCTTTCTCAGATACAACGCACCCGGAAATCCCAACAGAACATCTAGTTTATGTCTCCTTTATATTTTTATCTTAATTTCTCAATATATATTCTCTCCTAAAGCAGGAATGTTCATCTTAGAACTAACAGAAAAGCTGATGGGAGGACTGAATTAACGCGAGCATTTAAGCCACAATTTGCTGAAGCTGTAAGCAGTAGGGAGCAAAGGGAAAGGAAGGCAAAAGGCAGTCGTCCACATAAAACGGCTGTGGACAGGGATGCAGCTCAGTTGTGTCTCAAGCACATTCAGTCCTGACCACGTGGGCCACAGCAAGAATGAACACATGCATCTGATCTACTGATGCAGTAGGAAATCGTTTCCAAGTGTTCCTATGCTCTTAAACAGATGTGAGTAGAACTTAAAGGTGTTTTTTTTTTTCCCTCACCTGCCTCAGACCTGTTTATATTCTTGGAGTTTCTCTGGACTAGGAACCTGCCCTATTCTGAAGAGTGATCTCTGTATGTTTAAGCATATGGCCTTGGCTGACTGGATGGTTGTGAGTTCTCCTTGTTTTATAGTGTAATTAGAGTTTATTTTCCCTTTGTTACTCTTTTCATTGATCTTACTCATTATTACCAGTAAACTACTGGAGTCTCGAACTATTATTGTTTAGTGGTCTTTTTTTTTTGAAACCCAGTCAGTTTTGGCTTTATATATTTGTAAGAGTGTTACTAGGTAGATACAGAATTATTGCATTTTCCTAATGCATAGCATTTTATTTATTTAGGATTCAACACAGGAAATCATTCTGTCACTGATCTATGTCCCTAGCTTTGAGACTAATTATTTGGCTGCCTTCCTGTGCCCCTTTTCGTAGGAGGTCCAGTCCATGCTGTTAGCCTCATCCTCTATGACCAAGAATCCATAACTTCCATCCCTAGCTGAGGTTCCTAGACTCCTCCCAACTTAGCTCTACCCACCATGCCAGCCATACCCATCCAACTGTAAGCCCTTAGGTTCTCCTTTACTCAGACACCAGATTTGCAATGCCATCCAACACACCCTGGCAACCCAAGGGCCACTCCTCTGTGGGGAGGAGCAGTAGACCAACAGTTCCAAAAATTCCACTACCAGCTAAGGTACACATGGTGTCTAACCCACCTGCCTTCCTGCACATCTTTTGGCATACCACCCTTCAAGTAGGAATATTCAACTCTCTCAAATAAACACTTTTAGACCCACTGAGCACATTTGCCCCATCCTCAGTCTGGGAGACTGGTCTCACCCCCAACCTCAACTCCGTCCATCTACACTAACTCTACCCATCTTCACTGTTCACACCCTTTACTAGGCCGACTCCAGACTCACTATACTGACTCTACTCATTCCTGACACCCCGTGTCATATAATCATCAACACATTAAATTTATAAAACAAAGAAAGCACATTGAAGGAAGCAAGTGAGAAGGTGGGGCATAGAACTAAACAGAGAGTTCTCTAAAGAAAATTAAAGAAAATACAAATGACTATAAAATACATACATGGTCAATATCCTTTGCCATCAGAAAAATGTAAATTAAAATTGTTTTTGAGATTTTTTTTCACATTAGTTGAATGGGAAAAAGTTAAAAAAAAAAAAGCAGGGGGACAGCAAATTCTAGCAATGATGTGCAGAAAGTGGAAAAGGAAAAACATATTCACTGCTCCATATGATGAAACTCATACCTGGCACCATTCTCAGATCAAGAACCTGTAGATAAACAGATCATAGTTCTTAGAGCAGAAAATAATACTATTGCTTTGCTGAGTGGACACAGTTAAAAATTGACTTCTATTGAGAAATTGAGAAACTTCTGATTTCAGTGAATGGAGACTGACACAGTGACCCACAACTGGCCAAGGTGAGCAGTGTAATAGAATGCAGAGTTCTCACCCCTAAAGGCAAAATATTTACCACACCCCCTCTCCAAGGCTTGGGAACTATTGTGGAAGCGGAGGCAGATTTTGTGTAAGAGCCAGAGGAGGTAGATGACCACACAGAAACAGTGCCTTTTAGGAACCGCAGGACAGCTGCACGTATGAACCCATGGGTTGTGACAGCACACACTAAACCTACACAAGCCCAACCAGGACCAAGCTCCAAACTTGAGAGCAAAGGTGGTCACACAGCTCCACCAGCAGCCATGATGTTGTTGACAATTGTTAGCTTCAGGGCACCATTGTTAGGCCAAGAATGTGTAATTAGACAGGTCAGAGCACTAGGGAAGACCTTACAGTTATTGTGCCACTATAGGAACATAGTATTAAACCAACTTCTAATGACATCACTAAACCCAAAGATAAATGCATGTCTCAGCCGTCATCAGAGAAGGTTCTATTAGTAGTAATAGATGTCAGTTAACACATAAAAACACAACTTACTGGTCAAGGTGCAGAGAATAAGTGACGATGGAATGTCCAGCTATAAACTGGATATCTTTATCATAGTTTTTACTCTCAAAGTTCATGAATCATTTAGAAAGAGGATGTGGAAAGACTGCTAGAGCCAAGAAAGCAGATAAATACAGGGAAATGGTGTCCTCTGGACATAGGGAAGCTGCACATATGAACTCATATCAATTATGACAGCATGCACATGCCCCATGCAACCTCAAACCAAATCAAATCCCAGCGTAGAGAAGGAAGAGAAGAGATGGGAACAGAGGCCTACCTGTAACCAAAGAGTTGTTGACACTTGATATGAAGAGGGTCATTTTTAAGAGTAAATGTCCTGCTAAGTTGACCAAACTTCAGTGGAAAGCCACACATCCAAGAATATTGGGAAGCACAAATTGGACTTGATGGCTGCAAAAAAAGGACATAAGCTTGTATGGTTGGATGAATAGGAAAGTGGTACAGATCTGGGAGGAGTTCAGGAGGTGAATGCGATCAGACACATTGTAAGAAAGTCTCAAAGAACTAAAAGAAGCTCCAGAAGATGTGGCTGGAAAGATGGCTCAATGATTATGAGCACTGACTCCTCTTACAGAAGACCCAAGTTCAATTTCCAGCTCACAGCTGTCTGTTACTCCAGTTCAAAGGGACCCAACACTCACGGCAAAACACATAAAATGAAATTTCAAATAACTCTCAATCTTAAATTTATGTTGTTCAGTATCCTTTCCTTTAGTAGCTGAGTTGCAGTGTTTTGAAAGATTTACAACACCTTTCTTCATGTTTCTTGTGATTCTCTGTTATGATTTGTGTAGTCTGTTAGTTTAGATGTCTCTTTCAGTCCTTGTTAATCATCCTATTCTTGAATTCTCAACCCCTGTACCACTCTGTGAGGAGAAAGCAAACTGTTGCGGCGTCAACATCAAACTATAAAAGACAGAAATGAGAAGACAAGACTACTCCCTACCACTGACCAGTCCACTGCAGGAGTCACTACCTCACCAAAGCTCACAAAACTTATTCAAGGCTTAGTATTGCTGTGGGCTTATCCAGAGGACAAGCATGCCAATTCGCATTTTGCTTGATTTACCTTTTGAAAGCTACTTTTCCTTTGCACCTAAACCTCCAGCAAGATGTTTGCATGGTTGGCACCATGTTAGACTGACTTCTCTATGACATCCTTTTTGTTCTTTATTTCTTATCTTTTCAGGTATCCTTTTTGCTTCCTTTGTGGATTTCTGTCACTTTTTCTTTGTTTCAGTTTTCCATAAAGCCTATCTTTCCCTATTCTAGTATTCCTTCATTAGCTCACACAAAAGCATCCAACCTTTAGTCTATGTTCTTAAATTTATAAAAGAAAAAATACTGGGAGTTCTCATGATATAACATTGAGTTTATAGTAGACTTCTGTGAGAAACTGAATCTACCACATCTTCTAATAAGTTATTGTGCATTAGCATTCCATTTATTGATCAGTCCTTAACTTTAGTCAGCACCGCTTTGAAATTCTCTAAGAACAGGCTTGGAAGTCTTTGAGAAAACAATAAACAAAAAAGTACTCGAAATACAATATTGTTCAAACATGTACTGTCAAACAGGATATATAAAAATATCTATTGGATAAAAAAGAAGAACCCCAGTTTGAAAATGCACAAAATGTTTTAGCAGATTCTGAAAAAGAATGAGTATGGCTTACTAATAATCACATGGGAAAGAACTCTACATCAAGGGTCAAGAATATATGATTCAAGTCAAATCCAATCATTTTTCTATTATGCTGACTTTCTGTAAAACAATGACTATATCGAGTACTGGGAAGAAGGTCAAACAACTATCCAATATAAAGTCTACATAAGGTCACATGCTTGTCTGTATGACTAGGCTTTCAATTGTAGAAGGATCTACTAAGCAGAAATGCAGCCTGAGGGCCCACTATTTTCTGTAAAATGTCCTCCCTTCAGCTGTGGTATGTATGCCACATTGCAGAAGCATGGTTCTTCCCAGGTGTGTCCAGCATTCTAAGCAGGACTTCAAGTCTCCCAAGGTACAGCTCAGTACAGGAGAAAAAGTGTGCTGCAGCTGCCCTCAACATGGACAAAATCTTTTCTGTGGGAAGGAATACTGGTGCCAGAGGAAGACTCTTCAACACAGGGTTTGCTCAGAAACCGTTAGGAAGCTCAGGGAACTGTTGGGTGAAGACCTCCACATCTGGCCACAGAGGGGCAGTGCTGCATCAGAGCCGACCAAGTTTGTTTCTTCTAAGTACTCAGCGATGAGCCATGTACTCATCAGGTTGCACTCATCTGCCTGTTGAGAAAGACACCCGAGAGCTGACCACACAGTATGCACTTAGGACCTCAGCAAATACATAGCACTGCTTTCTCTTCTTCAGCTAACATTTTTTGTAATCTTCACATCTTGTCTATTTTTTTCTTCTTTCTATAGTTTTCACACAAGAACAAATATATATTTCTTTTAAAAAAATTGATATTTTGTTTTGATTAATATATCCTTTGGTTCCATTTTCCTACTAATGACATGATTTTGTTCTTGGACATGGCTGGACATACTCTCTTGTTTTATATGCAATATCTTCGTCATCTGTCTGGTGATACATGGTACCAGACTGTTTCTACATATTGGCTATCATGGTCTTGCTGTCGACCCAGTATATAATGGTTCCTTATAAGCTTGCACACGTAGGGGTCTTTCTAGCTTGATGACTTCAGTTAGTCGGATAAACACCCACAAGTAGAAAATCTGAATCATGGGTAATCCTTCCTTTCTTTTTTTATCTTTCTTTCTTTTAAAAATAAATCCCTTATTTAAACTTTCTTATAAAATATGTTTTGATCTTATTTCAGTTCCCCCCCTACCCAACTTCATGATATCTCTTCCTCGGTCTCTCTCCAACAAAAAACAAAAACGAAAGTTTTTAAAAAGCAAAAAAAAAAACTAATAAGAACAAAAATAGCAAAAACAAATGAAGCAAAAAAGCCCATTTTGTGTGGAGTTCAGGGTCGGGAACCTGCTATAGAGTGTGATTGATATACCTAGTGACCCTTTATTTGGGGAAAACTGTGTTTCCCAATCAATTGCAAATAGCTTCTTTGTTAGGGCTGAGAACACATTCACTTCCCCTTCTCGGTGCTTGGATTTTTCTATTTTAAACTTTTGTAGGTTTTGTGCATTCTACCACAATCTCTGAGTTCGTCTGTGCATCATTCCTTTGCGTCTGGAAGACCCTGTTCCTTGGAATTATTCACCACCTTAGGCTCATCTTTCCACCTATTCTTCTAAATAGATCCCTGAACTTTGAGGGGAATACTTTGATGAAGACATTCCGTTTAGGACTGAGTGTCCCAGTGATTCTCACTCCATGTACACTGTCCAGTGAGTGTCTGTGTTAATTCCCATCTACGGCAAGAAGAACCATCTTTGATGAGGTTTGGGCACAACACTGATCTATGGGTAAAGTATGTCTATACTGTTATTCTTGGTGACTGTATCAACACACAATTTTTACAAACAGTGTATAATGGTAGAATTATGAGGAGGGGATTTCTGATTCTCAATGAATGTATTTTCAGCAAATTTGAGCAAAATGGGGAAGTGTTTCCTGTGTCAGAAATAGCTGTAGACAACTGTTTCTCAGGGGTGGAGCCTGTTGAAAGAACTGAGGTGCTCGTGAAAGCAGATTGAGTGTTTTGTGGGGAGATAAAAGGTCACTGGAGATCTCACGAGCTCCAGTCTAGGAAGAATGGAAAAGATCCAGAAAGTATCATTCTTGGTCCTCACTCTTCACCTAGCATGTGAGTAATGAAGGAGAAACCCCAAGATGTGTGTGTGTGATTAATGTGGAGGCATGAGAAATTGGGGCACCAGACAAAAGCAGGAATGTCAAAACCATAAACAGGAAATACATACCTGGGGACCTAATGACATCTGTTATTTCTCCACACAGGGGTGAGTGGTCAGCAAAAGGGGAGGTCTGACCAGCAGCAGGTGAGACAAAGCCCCCAATCTCTGACAGTCTGGGAAGAAGAGACTTCAGTTCTGAACTGCACTTATGAGAACAGCGCATTTGACTACTTCCCATGGTACCGGCAGCTCCCTGGTGAAGGACTTGAATTCCTGATAACCATAAATTCAGTGTCAAATAAAAAGGAAGATGGAAGATTCACAGTCTTCTTCAATAAAAGTGATAGACAGCTCTCCTTGCACATCACAGATTCTCAGCCTGGAGACTCAGCCACCTACTTTTGTGCAGCAAGTACACAGTGCTCTCCAGGCACCTGCAGCCCACACCAAAACCTGCAGCTGTGCTCCAGCAAAGCCCTGCTGTGGGTCTGAGCCTGGCAGAAGTGCAAAGGAGTTTTCATCTGCAGTGTCAGATGACTGGTAATGCAGTGAACTTAAGGATTATACTCATTCAGGCCACAGACAGACCAAGGTGGCTTCACGGTTTGCTTTCCCCCAGTCTCCCTTTGCTCTTCAGGAACCACTGGAGTTTTAGATCTATTTTCTTAACTGGTCTACTTGAATTGTTTGCTGTGTGGTTGGTCTGTACTAACTGTAAATTATACAAGGGCCTATTTCCCTGCACTCTTGGCAACAGGGAAATTAACAGGGTTGTTAATGGGTAGCTATTAAAGCTCAGTATCAGTAGACTTTGTGGAGTCTGTGATAGGAATCACACAGAATTGTCTTTTACCTTAATTTCCTCTGATCATCAGAGAAATGGTGATTTATGTGACCACCAATCAATCACTTCTACTCTCTGTTGCTTGATCTGCCTCTTACATTCTCATCTACCTTTAAGAAATTCAGTATGTTAAAGGAGACACTCACCAAAATGCAGGTCTGTTTACAAAAGGCATATGACATCAGTGGAAAGAATGAAATTTATCCACGTAAAAAAAATACATAACTTTCACCAAATAATTTTTCCCATGTCATTTTTACAGACGAATCAAAAAATATAATGCTGAGTGGAAAAATCAAATGTCAGAATGAGTAATATTTCATCACACTATTTATAAGAAGCTTCAGAACTACAAATTAAGTGTTGTATGTTCATATTCTCAAATTATATCATTATTATGTTTTTGCTGCTGTTGTTAGCATGTGTGTTGTGTGTTCATGTCACAGCGCACCCATGGAGGTCAAAGGCAGCTTTACAAAGTCAATTCTACTCTTCCTGTCTACGCAACCTGAGTTCCTAGAGTTGAGCACAGGTCACCAGACTTTCAATACACATGCTTGATGTGGAATTTTCCTCTGTATGTTGTGCATATGTTTTATTACCATTGGTTAATAAAGAAACTTTTTTGGACTATGGCAGGGCAGAACAGAGCTAGGCAGGAAAACAAAACTGAATGCAGGGAAAAAGAAGGTGGAGCCAGGGAGACACCAAGTAACTGCCAAGGGAAACAGATGCCAGAATCTGAGTGGTAAGCCAGAGCCTTGTGGCAATACATAGATTAATAGAAATGGGTTAATTTAAGATATAAGAACTAGGTAGAAATATGCCTGCATCATTGGCCAAACAGTGTTGCTATTAATACAGTTTCTATGTGATTATTCGGGTCTCGAGAGTCAGAAAATGAATGAGTAGTCTCTGTTTACACATGCTTTCCACACTGGCCCACCTCACCAGGTTTATATATTGTTTTCTAATGTGTATCTATAAGTAGATATTACAAATGCCCTGGTTAGAAACTTCCCAATAATGATTTCTCTTTGGACACAAAGAAGAAAGTGTAGTGGTATTTCATTTATATTTTAATAAATAAAGCTTGCCTGAAGATCAGAAAAGTACAACAGCCACAATGGCCAGCCTTATAGACCAGGCAGCAATGACATACACCTTTAATCCTAGTAGCCACAATGATACGTGCCTTTAATTCTAGTAGCCACAATGACCCACACTTTTAACCCCAGTAGCCACACTAGCTTGCCATGGAAATCAGGCAGTAGTGGTGCACGCCCTTAATCCCAGAAGTGGAGAGGATTATAAAATGAGAGAAGACATCTCCCAGTCTCAGTCTCATTCTGAAGTTTCTTAGAGGCAGGATCACCATTTTCAGACAGATGTCAAGGTAAGAGTCAGTGGCTGGGTGCTTTGCTTTTCTGGTCTTTAGGTTGAACCCCAATATCTGTCTTTGAGTTTTTATTAATCATGCTACAAGAAAGGAGTTACTGTTACACAAATTCTAGTTGGTTTTCTACAGAATCCTCAGACCAAAGTGGGCAATATCCTGTCTCTCTGAATCCTCAGACCGAATGTTCTGAGCTCCTGTCTCCTCTCACCTTATATTTCTCTCTGCCTAGTCATAACCCTTCCTTTCTCCCTCTCCCTAATGTTGAGATTAAGGTATGTGACTCCCAAGTACTGGGATTAAGAGTGTGAGCCACTAGCACCTGGCTCTGTTTCTCTTTTAGACTGGATCAGGGTCTGTCTAGTGTAACCCAGGGTGGCCTTGAATTCATATAGATCCTTCTACCTCTGCCTCCCAAGTGACGGAATTAAAGGTGTGTGCCACCACTGTCTGGCCTCTATGACTAACTAGGGGATTAATTAGCTCTACATTATTTGTTAGATCACAAACACAGTATCACCACAATTTACTAATATATATATATATATATATGTGTGTGTGTGTGTGTGTGTGTGTGTGTGTGTGTGTGTGTGTTGTAAAAAAAGATAGAAAAGAAAGAGAAGAGAGAGGTCTTCAAGAAGCAGAATAATTCGCTAGCTGCTAAGTATTATTGCTAAGTGCAAAGGTATCATATATAATGTACTATACTTTAAATTTGAACATTATATATTTTAAAGTTTTTAAGCTATGTATTTTTAAATTTTAGTGTGTGTGTGTGTGTGTGTGTGTGTGTGTGCGCGCGCGCGCATGTGTGTGTAAGTGGACAAATGCTTGGTCCACATATGAAGTTTGGAAAGCATCTTGTGGCATGGGTTCTCTCCTTCCTTCCATGTTGTGGGTTCCAGGAAATGAACTAAGTTCATCAGACTAACACGCAGGTGCCTTACCCCTTGAACCATCTCACAGGTCTTAGGCCTTTTTACTCAATAGAAACAGCTGTAGTCATTATGGCTCCCAACAGTGCACAAGATGGAGGAAGGACCTTTCATTGCCTAACACTTTGCAAGATGTACTTTCATGATGCCATTTATATGCCAAAAAAAATTCCACTGGAAAAAATCTTTAAATGTATTCATCGCACACAGTTCAGGGTTCTGGTAGCCCCCAAACATCTAGGAGCCTAAGGCAGGAGGAGGTTTTTTCCTAGGAATTGTAGGCTAACCTGCCTCCAATTAAATTAAAAGACTGTACTAGGAAAGTGGAACTAAACCTAAAGAATGAGAAAGTTGTTAAACTTAAAATGCACAATATATAGTATCTCTTCACCAGTGCATAATGCATAGATTTCAATACACAAAGAGAAAATCAAATCAATTGACTCTTCACATTAAGAGATGTGCCACAAATGCTGCTACGTGAACTCCCTGTTTTGTTCAAAGATTTACATTACTGTCAAGTTTCAAACAGATCAGAAATTTGGACAATATGTGTGTGTGTGCTTTGCATGCATGTGTGTGTCTGTAGAATAGTCTTCCTTGGATTGAAATTGTAACATGATCAATAAAAAAATTCAGAGACAGATACTGGGGTTCAACCTGAAGGTCAGAAAAGCAAAGAGAGACAGCCACCGGCTCTTACCTCTACCTCAGTCTATATGACAATCCTGCCTCCAGGGATCCTCATAATGAGACTGTGTCTGAGAGCTGTCTCCTCCCATCTTATGTTCCTCTCTAATGCTGGGATTAAAGGCATGCACCACTGTCATGCAGTTTCTATGGCTAACTAGTGTAGTTACTGGGATTGAAGATGTGTGTGATCACTGGTCTGTAAGGCTGACCAGGGCAGCTGTTTTTCTCTCTGATCTTCAGGCAACCTTTACTTACTAAAATACAAATGAAATATCACTATAAGAAAGCATACAAGTAAGATAGATATGATGCCTTGTCTACAGCGTTCTCATAACCAGGATGAAGGAGGGAGAACTGCAAAGCTCTGGGCAGCACAGCAGGAGTCTGTGCTTGATAAGAAACGTGAGGTTGAAGATTTTATAAAGGAATTAGAGAGTCTGTGAGGTAAGAATTATATTAGAATACATATTATTCTATATTATATATAATAGAATATTATATATTAATATATTAGAATATACTATAATAGCCTATTCATTGCCATTTTGGTGTCTTCATATGGTGGCCAGGTATAATTCAGTTTTGGGGGTTTGGGAATTAACATAAATTCCTTCATCAGATGCGCTTTCAGTTTATAATCAAGGTCTGTCACTGTCTGAAGAGAAAAATATTTATTTTGGACAATGCTCACATATTCGCTGTTTCATCGATGAAAGATCATTTTCAGAGGGCATTTATTTTCCTGAAAACTATAGCAACTTCAGAATTCCATCAAATGTTTACATGCTCCCATGGCAATGGATGACATCACTGAGCAGCTGGTCACAGAGGCTCCTCCACTCTCATGCTTCTCCTTCCCCAGACTTCTGCTGTGTCATCACAATCAGCCTTTGCTGGGCCATTGGCTCTCCAGGACACAACCAGAGACTTCAGCCTCACAAGCCTGTTTTGATGTCATTTGTCTGAGCAGATTGTTGGCTCATATAAAGGCCCAGTGGTTTGGGAGTGAGAAGGAAGAAAGGCGTGGGTGAGGATTTCTGGGGTGTCTCTGCAGGGAAGTCATCATGCTTCACCTTCAAACAAACCGGAGTCAGAGCAGTTGAAGCCTGAGTAAATATGAGCAACATTTGGAGATTTCACAATGTTCTGTTTCAGGAAAACCTCTCAGACCTTACACAGATTAACTTAATAAACTCTTTCTAAACTTCCTTTATTGTTTATCCTTGTTCTTGGTATTCAGAATATTACTTTTAGTTGTTTATTTGTGTGTACATGTTTGTTTGTGTGAGTATACACACGTGTGTTAGAGGGAGTGGTTTCTGGGAGTGGTTTTCTTTGAGGCAAGAAAAGGGTGTCAGATCCTTGGAATGGCAATGATTGAAATGACCCATGAAACATGGTTACTGACAACCACGAAGATTAAGTCATTTAAAAATTTTAAGTCCTTTTTGTTGGTGGTCAGACAAAGAGTGGGCTCATGCCTCTGAAAGTCTCCTAGTACACAAGTTCAGAGGTACAGATATTTTAAAGGCAAATCCACACAAACCATAATTTACATCAAAATTAGAGGAAAGTAGGATCAAAATACTCTTGAAACGATCATTCCTGGTAGAGCAAAGTAGTTATTTTAGACATAACATGCCAATTATTTTTGACTTACATCTTTTCTAGTTATTTTAGTTTACTTATTTCAGTTAATATATATCTGGACTATGTCCAAGATTATGGAAATCTCCAATG